TATTATTTAATTGCATGGATATTATGATTTGAAAATTTTAAATGAAGTGGAACAATAATTATGGAAGTCACTGTATAATTAATTACCTTACGTTTCATCTAAATTGCTATATCAAGAAAGATTTTTTGCTATTTCATCATGACTACTTGAATTAGCAACATTTAATTTCATATTTGAAGTTTGGTCATCATTCGTGCATAAAATCAAATTCAAATTTAGGTGCTCTAAAGTATAATAGTAGTTTAACTTTAACGTCATTTGATCCTTCTTTATTCTTTCTCTTTCTATTGGCTAAGTTAGCAAAATTAAATGCAAGATATTTTTTAAAAGAGAAAAAGAAAGGATTTGTAAATTAAAGTATTTTAAGAATAATTGTAAGCCTCAAAATAAACTCATATTGTTTCAACCATAAATCATTATCTTAGAGTTTTATTTAATCCATTATTGATATTTGAAATTTCATTTAATATGATAGGATAAATAGATGGATCAATAAAATAGATATCAATATTGACAAATTTAATATGTTTAGCTAAAATCTTCTTATCCTTTAAGAATGCAAAATATTTTCTTGAATAATAGTTTCTTTGACCAATTCTTCTTTATTTTCACCAATTTTGGTTTATATTTAAGTAAAAAATTAAAATAATATTTTTAAATTATATATAAGTTACAATCTATATCAACTTTCTTATTTTCTTGAGATGAGGTTAAGTTAGAACTATCAAGAGCATATTTGAATACAGGTGTCATATTAATAGAAAAAGAATTTGAAAATTCTTCAGAGAATAAATCTTCAATATTATATTTTCTAACTTTATCTAGGAGATCAAGACTTTCAAGAATATGAGTGCTTTTCACATTAAATTAATTATATATTGGTCTAAATTTGTAGCATCTTAATAAAGGAAAATAATGATATTTAAGACCTGATAAACTTTTTTTGTTTATGGATAATATTCTCCCAATAGGTCTTTAATTTTTATTTTGAATGTTCAAAATTTACCTATTATATATGAAATATTAAATTTGATAATAATAAAAAGTTAATCATAAAACAACTGATTCTAGTTGATAGTAAATAGAAACTTCAAATAAAAAAATATAGATTCACAATGGTAAGACTTAAGATATTAACTGATACTCTTGAATCAAGGCGTTGGTTGACCAGAGATACCACTATCATTTAAATCAGAATGTTGACTAATACTCCTGAATCAGGGTGTTGATTGATCAGAGCTCTCTTGGTTAAATAAAAGAAATAATACCTGACTTTTAAAATTTTAAAGTTTTTTGATTCAAGCATCATTTTTGTGTTTTTTAGAAATCTACGAATTTATATACCATCTAGACTATATAGATATAATAACATTTTAGTTAAGTATTAAAAACTTATAGTACAATTAGTTTACGTATTCACGTTTATAAAGATAAGAGAGAAGAGCTATAGATTAAAAGAAGCTAAAAAGTCAGTGAAAAATATTCAGATCTTAAGTCAAAGTCATATAAGCTTATCAAAGTAGCTAGGGTAATAATTGATTTAAGACATCATGTTTGTAAGTTTAAATCTGGAATAAATCTTATTTTTAAAATTTTAAGGATAAGAAGTATAGAGAAAGTTTGTTTTTATTGGTTAATAATCAATATGTATGATTGGTTAAATAAATAATATATGATAATACTACGCAATTATATTTTTATAGTCATTTTTTTATATTTTTACTTCAAATTAATTAACTATCTCATTATGGTTTAAAAAAACTATAGCCTATGTTCAGTACAAAATTGTAATAATCAAATATTTCATTTTTGACAATTTACTTTATTAGTATATGAAAAAGCTCAAAAAAAGAAACTTACGAAGCATATACATATTTAAGAATCAGATAACAATTATGTCATAATCATTATATGAGTATTGTTAATTCTTATCAAAAGCATAAGTTAGAAATTCCTCTTTTTTTAAAAGCTGACGAAAATATAACATCATAAATATAAAATTATAATTAGTTAATTGCAAAAATAATAAAATCAGAGTTGCATTCAATCATCTAAACTTTTTTATATGATTTACATAATAATTGGGCTTAGATCAAGAATACAGCTCCAATTTTATTATTTTTATAACTATATTATAATTTTTTATATATATAGAATTTAAAAGTTATTCATTTGTCAAGCAGATTATTATGCTTATAAAGGTTTTATATGAGCAACGTGATAATTTAAAACTTAATCCTACACATTTTAAACAAATGATTAAAGCAGCAGATCTGTGTTTACAAGGCCTTTTTGATAAATTAGTAAAGGCATTAGTTTCTGATAACAGATCTGCATATACAGTCAACTCTTTCTACAACGAATTTTAATATAACGAATTTTACAATACAACAGATTTTCATTGTCAGACAGATTTTTAAATATAAAAAAACCCTTACTATACCG